TATGTATATATATATATATATATATATATATATATATATATATATATATATATATATATATATATATATGTATGTATATATATATATATATATATATACATATATAGTTAATTCGATTAAAATATCAAAAAAAGATAAAAATATCCCTCTAGATATTAAGATACTATTAGGAACGAGTCACTAAGAGGGGGGGGAGAGAGGGGGGTAAATTAGTACAACGGTAAAAATTACATCGATTCTTAAAATTCTTCGTATGATAAAACTAATTTCGAAAAAATAGCTTGAAAGCGTATGGAAGAACATAGTGGATGTAAAGCAAGTAAGTAAGTAAAGTGGTTTGCAGTTAAAGTAAATTGCTCAAGACGAAATGTAAACCAGATTTTTATAGTGGTTCGATCGTCATGACTTACATCCACTCCGTCGATTCCTCTTCCGTCGAGGCTACTAGCATCCACTATCAGTCTTCCTTCAATAGGTGAAGACCAACCACCTTTAACAGCTCTTTCTCTTTTTACCGGGTTTAGGAGATAATCCTTACACCCCTACTTACTCATCTCTCAAACTATTCTAACACTTAGAACTTTGAGAGAAGTTCACACACAATTAAAACAGAGTTTTCTTTCTTTTTTTTGCTCTTAGTTGTGTGTTATTTAACTAGGGATGAGAGGGATATTTATAGGCCTCAAGTTGATTTAAACTTAGAACCTAAAAATATATCATCTCAGGTTTCCTGGGTACGAGCAGTACCACTGCCAGTGTTAGTTTGACACTAGGCGGTACCATCGCTTGATAGGGGCGGTGCCACTGCATGGCATCCTGTCACTAGATGGTACCACCGCCTAATCTCTCGGAGACTATATCTGGGCAATACCACCGCCCAGACCGACGGTACCACTGCTTGACATAGTCTCGAAGATTGTACCACGACGGTGTCACTTCTTGGGTCACTGTTTGGGCCTTTTCATTGGGCTCAACACATTTCATATATGGGCCCAATTAGCCCCTAATTGGGTTGGCCTGATTCCAATCCCAATTATGTGCTAACTACGAATTCTAAGACATTTACTAAACTAAACAAGCCCGTAAGTCTAGTTTCTTCCGACGAGCTACCGGCGATCTTCCGACGAACTTCTAACGAACTCTCAGCAATGTTCTAGCAGACTCTAGGCAAGCTCCTGGACTTTACAACGATCTTCTTGGCGAGTTCCCACGAGCTTCTTTAGCAAGCTCCTGAACTTCTCAATCAATTCCATCCGAACTTTTGACGAACTCTCGAACTTCCAACGAAGTCGCGTTCTTGACTTCGGGACTTTATTTGCTTTATGTCTTGCTATCGTAGTTAATCCTGCACACATAAAAACATACTTCGATCTAGACAATTATTACTAAGCATGAATCATGTTATCCGATATGTCATTGGTCATTCAACGCTTCATCCGATTCTTCGACGCATCATCCTCTCTTGCGGCTTATTGCCCAATCGGCCAGTTGACCTCTGCAACTCAAATATCCTTCTGTCGATACGTCGACCGATCCTTCGGTACGACTTCTAATCTTCTGACACGTTTTCCTCTAGCCCAACATGATTCTTTCTGATTTAATTCTCTCCCTGATCGAAGCATTTTGCGTCACTCAAAACTCAGATCAAATCATAAATACTTATCAATTGGTTTCATCATCAAAATCCGAAATTCAATAGGTCCTTCACATATGTCATTGTCATTAACATTTATCTAAAAGATCCTTAACTCTAATTAACATTAGTTTGTTAAATTTAAGTGTACAAAAAATATAAAGTAACTAATCTTTTATCATCATAATAAAATTTTAAAAGTCATTAAATAATAATAACATATAGTAAATTATTTAATTTTAAAATGATGTGTATGTCAAACCCAAATTTAAAGGGATAACTACAAAAATCATTAACTTTGGAGGGATATTTATGTGCTTTTGCATAAAAAAAAAAAAAGTAGATGGCAAATTTTCCACTCATGTTATCTATGTATATACATATACATATATAAGGTAATTAAGTATTTGATCAGAATCATACATTCATTCATAAATATAATAGATTTTGCCATAGAGTAAGTGATTTTTGTGTCTTTAGGTGTGCAGGAGAAGGTATAAACAAGATCCAGATCTCTGAGTTGAACCTTAAATCCTCTATAATAATTGAGGAGGTTCATCTGATCCTTATCATCATCAGATGACCAGTCTCAAAGCCTGCCACTTTAGTGAAGGTCTGACAGCATGACAATCTCTCACTGGTTTCACATGCCTCACGAATCTCAAGCGTCAATATTTGGCAAGCTTTATTCAGATTTAGATATCATATCACGCAATCACAGCTCAATGTTCATGAATATTTTGCTTACAGATATCAAAAACTTGTTGATTAAGGTGTCATCATCGTCATCATCATCATCATCGAAGGATGTATAGGCCCGACAGGAGTATGAGATGTTGCTTGTGATATCTTGAGCTACTTAGCTTCGCCTTTGCAATATGAAGCCTTCAAGGTTCCGACGTAGCAGGTCAGCTTGGCTTCAAGGAACGAAAGGAGAGAAGGCGATAGCCGAACACATATGTTGGCTGGCAAAGGTTGCATGCGACGACAAGGGGGTAGCAGTATTGGTCCGTGTTTGCGCCATCCAAAAGAGGCCGCAGACCTCTTGTACTCCTGGCAGATGCTGTAGCGTGTGGCCGACGTTGGGGTATCAAAGTGAGATATCCACAGGACCTAAAGAACAGTGCCATCCCTTAAAGAATCCTCTTGGTTTTTAGTGAGGACAGGGACGCAGAGAGAGAGAGAGAGAGAGAGAGAGAGCGAGAGGAGAGCTTATATCACTGTTTTCTATGGGTCGTAGGTGGGTGGTCATTGAGACAACATTGGATTCTTGAACAAGTGGCTGCTGCGTGGGGGTGACTGTCGACGGTCAGAAACAGGGAGAGTGGAGATTTGTGCCCAAAGGATGAACAAAAGGCAGCACTGGGATTAGTTCTGCAACAGCAAGTTTGGTGGAATGAGCTTTTATCATCATTCATTCTGACTCGCGCACCAGCACGTTGCTCTGTGCAGTTGCTTTCAGACTTCAGCAAAACTCTCCTTGCCATCATGCTTCCTTCCGAGGGGAGGTCATCCCCAACACCTCTCCTCTCAAGGCATGTGCTCTCCCCCCTCCCCTCTCTTTTACTCTGACCAATACGAAGCTGCACATGCAGATCACTGTCACTGGACCCAGTGGAATTGGCTCCCCATCAAACAAGAGGTGTGGAGCAGCAAGTCAGGTCTCCTATATATGCTGTGCAAATTGCAGCCAGGATTAAGATGGAAGATGGGGATTATTGGGAAGGCTCAAGGCTGACCATGCCAATCACAACACACTTACATGCATGCCATGGTCAGTAATCTCATATGGTGCTGAGTCTCGTCTGTCACTGGTATCGATGATGAGGTCAAAGTCGTAGCTTTTGCAGACTGAATCATAAAGCCTCTCCTTCAGCCAAGGAGGAAGACATCAGTCTGAAAATTTTCAACCGATATAGTGTACATCCAAGCAATCCTTTCTTCTCGTCAGCAGAATCTGAAAGACTGAAACGGTAACTATTATCTTGCAGAACTCGAGTCATGTGAGAAGAAATTTAGGAGAAGAAACCATGACTACTGCCACTTGGAGCAGAGCAGGGGAAATAAATGACAGCAGAAGATGCTTGTTCTTGCAAAACAATTGGAACAGCCATTTCATCAGCATTTGCAGTTTCCATGAATGCAATGTTGGGAAGAACAATTAAGTTCTGCAAATTGTACAGAACACTGCTACCTCATGAATTCTGCAGGGGTTCATATTAAGATCTTATTTTGTACACATCACTGTGTTTTGCTGCCCACTGACCTGTGGACACCACAAGAGTAAGAGTAATTCATTGTTCCTTTTTTCTCTCGAGGACTACTAGTGGTGTCAGGGAAAAAAAATTTCTCTCTCAGCAGTATCAACATATGATAAATTTAGACCATTGGCAAGGAGAAATTTGTAAGTGAATGATGATGTGAATAAAAAATCTTAGAATGATGTTTGTATTCTTGGAGCTCTACAGGGGTGCCCTACCAAGGTGTACATTAACATTGACTCACTCAAAAATTTTAATGGATAATTTACTAATATGTATGTATGTCAGAAAAAAACTTGTCATAAGAAATTTTATGCCTTTGAAATGTTACAATAAAAATTGTGTGAACATTCCACAATTAGTAAATATTATGCTGACCATATTTTTCTTCAAAATAATATTCAATCATACCTCTTCTGTAGGACTATAATGCCATGCCAAGTTAGAATTATACATTCTTAAATTTTATCATTGTTATATTTTTGACAGAAAAATATTTATATAACTCTTGTTCAAAACGACATTCATATTACTTCTCTAATGCTACAGTGTTGTGGTAAGTCATCAATCAATAGATTCTCAAAAAATTGAAAACTAAGAGATAAGATGGACATGCTTTGTGGACTTTGAGAGGGGCTAATAGGCAGTAATGTGTCCAGTTATTTGATTAAGGATAAGTGGAAAGAGTAAGAAAATAAAATGAATTATGAATTAGAGATTTGCGCTCAGACTTGGATGAAACAACCTCAGTTGGCAGTTAAGTATCTCTGATAGATCAATTCTCGTCTTCTTAATCTAAAGTGTGATACATGACAATCAAGTCTTCCGAAAAATGCTAGTAGACCTCAATCGACTGACTCTTTCACATTAGCAAAGCTTAAACAGAAGAAAATATTCTACAAATATTTTTTGTTACGTAAATTATTTTCTTCAACCACAAGTGCAACTAAAGATGATCGACTATAAAGAGTGAATATGGATATGATCAACAAGGATAAACTCTCTCTTTTCCCTTTCACATTCTAATCTAATTTTGAGAGCTAAACTTGAATGTTGAACTAACTAGCTCAAAAACAAGCATCAACATCAAACCAATGACCAACTATATGGTTATGATTAATGAGATTAGACTCCTCTTTCTCTTTCCACTTTCTAATCTAATTTAGAAAGCATGACTCGAGCATTGAACTAACTAGGATGAATACGAATATGATTAATGAAGATAAACTTTCTTTTTTCACATTCTAATATATTTTCAAGAGCTCAACTTGAGCGTCGGACTAACTAGATCAAAAGCAACCACCGACATCAAACGGTATCAATATCAAGACCCTAAATTGTAATGAACCGAGTGCAAAATGTTCTACATCATATAGGCAATGTGAGATCCACAAAACAAAGCCAAGTTATTAACAGACAAATAGTGTGTCCATACAAGTTCCTATCTGAAACACTGACAACATTTTTGATCCAACATTTAGAAGCTAAAATTACGGGAAAAAGAAAGTAATGAACTCACAAGATTAAGAATGATTTTCTGATCAATGCAATATGGATAATCATAATGGTTTTGTAATGCTTTTCACCCTGCTATCACCATCGGAGATTCATTCTGAAAATTCATCTGATGTCACATCTGACTCTCCATCTTCATCATCAGAGGATTCAACTGCAGTCTTGTTAGTTATCTTGCTCATTGCTGCTGTTTTGCTTGTTCTATGGGAACGCACGTTGGTTTGGCTAGGCGTCATCGGAACCAGAGGAACAGATTGTGCATCATCATCTGATGAAGAAACTTCTCGCCTTACCCTTCGCCGCCTGGTTGTTGCAGTTCTGCCAGACTGTGGTGCGGGTGTTGGTGGTATCACTGTCGAAGTATCAATGTTCAGGTTGCCTTCCAATCCTAGCTTCCCTGAGCATGATGATCATGGTCAGATAAGCACTTGCTAAATGGATATGTTGTAATTCGTATCGCCCAAGCAGAGCAAGAAATATAAAAAACAAAGGAAAAGAAAAGTAGTACTACCAAATAGAGCAGTAGATTGGTCCTCTGATAATCCTTCATCTGGATGTACATCAAGCGATCTGAGACGTGCTGCCATAAGATTCAATTCCTTGACGAGTTCTTTGTCCCGTGTTATTGAGGTGATCATGCCATTCAAAAGGCCCCTCATGCATTTAATGGCATGTTGCTCTGATGGTCGAAAATTGATCGAAGCAGCTATCCTGCATAGTGCCAAGATATATGATTTTCCTGCAGATGTTTTCTTCTCCGGGCAGCCTGCTACCTAAATGATGTTGAACATAAAAAGGCAGCGAAACATTGAGGGTTAATTAAAAAATTTGCTAAAACATTGAAACTTTCATCTCCAGATTTGGGGATTATACCATCGACCTGAATTCCTTAATATACTGATATTGGATCATAAACTAAATCATGAAGCTAAAATTAACCGTGCATCCAAATCATACAAGAATTTTGGGAAATACCTCCGCAGCAATGCGAATAGCAATCCCCTCCTCCCCACTGTCAAAGTCATCTGATGTCTGGACTGAACTAGAGAGGTTTCCAGAACTAAGCTCATCTTCCTTCCTTTCGTTTGAGAAAAGAGGGATTTGCATCATTTGCAACATAAAGTGTGCCGCTAACACTGCACGCTTTCTCAGTTTAGACACTGTGATGGCAGGACCCCCAGACTTACCATAGACACCAGGCCACAAGGATCGCATGGTAGGAATAAAAGCAGTAGAGATACACCTCTGAACCAGAAAAATAGGAATATGAGATGCCTAAGAATGTGCAGGAACATTTTGTTGCAGGTCTTATGTACCATAATACCCATTACTTGCCTTGTGAGTGCACGAGAGGGCTGGATAATGCTCAAAGAATATGGATAAGCATTGCTTTAGCCTGTAATTAGAAATATTAATATATGTATTCTTGAAACTATGTATAACAAACAGGATTGAATTGGTATTTACCTTTGTAATTCCTTGGTTTCATCACAAAAGTACAAGTTAACGAGCTTGTGTAAGATCAAAGGAGATAAACATGTAGAAATGCTTGGATAATTCTCACTCAGAAGAAGAATCTTAGCAAATCCTTCTCCCAGGATAGAATGAACACTCTCATCATCATCAGCATCACCAACTTCACCACTGTCATCACTGTTAAGTCCATTGTATAACAGATCAAGTAATCCAATGCTTTCATCATCCCTCAGATTTGAGGAATTTATGGATACTAATCCTTCTTTTTCATTGTTTGGCTGTTTAATATCTATCCCAATTGCTTTATCAACTTCTTGAGGACCGTGCCATGTGAACAGATCAATTAATGACTTACTAGCCATAATTCGTACTGAAGTAGCACCATCTATAAAGGACTGTCTTAACTGTGATACTAGCTCTCCTGTTGGTCTCCTTTCTAAAATTCCAAAGAGTGAAAGGCATCTTGTTGCAACCCTTTGAACATCAATATGACTATGTTTTGCCTGCATTACATAAAATGGGGGAAATGGCTCTTAGAAACCGGATACCACTACAACTGCCAAGCGGTTAAAATTAAAATGTTATGGATGAACTAAGTGACTGGTATATGAACAAGTTTGTAGTTGAATTTTTATTGTATTTTCGAACTACATTAAACTGTCAACTGTTCACCTAAACAACTTACCCCAGGAAGCAACAAAGAATGGAGCAGCTCAGAGGGTTCGATTGCTTTGCCTTGCAGGCTCCAGAGGGAAGGAATGTTTTCCAAAAGTAGGCCAGTTAATGCAAGGCAATGCATCCACTGCATGAAGTCAGCAGTTCGCTCTCTGCAAGGCTGAGAAAGTTCCTTAATTACACTTGTTACTACTGCTTCAAATTCACCCATGGAAGCATGCACTTTTTTTGCCAATTCTAATATTGCTCTGGCCCATTCCCTGTCTCCACCAAGGCTGATCCCATCTCCTATTACAATCTTATTCCCATCATCATCAACTTCATGCTCAAGAGGCCGGAGCAAAAGCTCATTCACAAATTCACTAGCAACTTTCCTGTTTGCAACATCTGAATAGTCAAGCATTGCACCAAATAATAATAGCTGGCGAGATGTGAAGCAATAATTTGGTCCTGCAATAAAAAAATATGATAGATGGCTATGAGCAGCTACTTGTTCAACTTAGGCCATGCAATTGCTCAATCTAATTGGATAACTTCTAATGACCAGTAACATCATCTCACCAGCAGAAAGGTGCACTTTTACCAAACTAACAAAGTCGGATACTGTTGCTGGAAGAATTTCATCTAAAAGGTCATTTTTATCTGAAGCTTCTGATGCATATATTGCTGCTTCTGTGCCAGTGGTAGTTGCAGCATCATTACCTTTGGCCTGTATAATGAAATTGTGCAGAAAATTATGACACACAAGTTTAGTGAGATACGTGAACTGAGAAGTTCCATCCATAAACGAGTGAAACTAGGTACCAAGAAGTAATCTAACTATAGAACAAACGCACACACAGACGCATAAAGAGCAAACTCTGAGTTATACCATGTGTCATTACACTAGAACAGATCAGGCCAATATCAGTCTAACCATGGACCATCGATATATATCCTTTGCAATTAGAATGTATCATTTTCTCTAAAATATTCCTTTCTTTTCAACATATTATAGAGATCAGAGATAGAAATATTAGCATAAAATTGAGATGGAAGGAACAATGTGTAGTTGATTTATCACCATTTGATTTATAAACACATAAAACTCAAAAATCTTACCTGTCACTTAAAATCAAGGAGTGATTAATCATAATATTAAATGATACCAATACATATATAAGAAATATGAAACATGCTTCTAGAAGTACAAGATCAAAGTCCTTACTTCAGCTTCACTTTGTAGATGCCTGCATAGGATTTTCCAATAAAGAGCAGCTTCTGCATCCATCAGCTGAATGTTGGAAGTGCATCCTTCTGAAAAGTAAAAACAATATCCGTAAATAATGAATTTTATCAAATTCTGAAAGAATAATGTTATATACTATGGAAGATATTATTCATGTGACAAAAAGAACTATTCTTCATGTAAAATAAAAGGTATATAATTAACTGGGGAAAAATCTACATATTATTCATATTAGTGTAACTAAGAATAACTACTAAAAAAATTTTAAACATCTAAAAAAGAATGTACCTATATCCTCTCAACTTCTAAGACTTTATATGCAAAAACATGAGTTGAAGAACAAATCTGATGAATGTGACTTTCGTTTGACTTATAATTTTTGCATTGACCACTGATCATCACTCCAAGGTTTGAACTCTGAACCACCATTTTTTTTCATTTAAGTGATCAGTTGCAAACATACCATTTAAAAATAATCCATCTCTCCACTTCGTGTATTGGTAACTAGAAAAGTTTTTTTTTTTTATTAAGCTCTTTTTGTCATGGCCACACTATTTGTGGAATATCGCACTTGTTTTTTGTTATGTGATTTTATGCTCACAAATCACACTAATCAGATATTCTATTGTCATTCATTCAATGTTTACATTGTCACAGCATTCAGATTGTCTTTCAGCTAGGAATTCTGACAATCCCTTCTCCTTGACCACCACTTTGAGTCAAATTATTCACATTAAAACTTCCAATAACAACCTAAAAGGTCAATTTGAGTTATCATATGCCTGCACTGAAATACCTTGACACAGATCATGGGATATCCTATGCTTGCACCGATATCAGTACATTTAATCTTGACAACTACCTGCTGCTATACAACATGACTTTTATGCACAACTTCATCATCCTGAAAAATCTATGATGTTATGGTTAATTTATCTAGCCATATGAAGTTAAAAATGACCAATCTTCTCAGAATCTAAACAGGCACCATCTCTTGGTGTGACTCAAGCAGGAAAATGAAAGAAAATAAGAGATGTAAAGTACCAACACCACAAAAAAATGATCAAATTTGTGATTTTCTAACAATGGTATTATTACCATAATTTCATATGTTTGTTTCAACTTCCATAAAAATCCCAAAGAACAAAAAACATATAAGCTTTAAACAGAAATCCAGATATTACCATAAGATGTATATGTAATAATTTTGGGCAATATTATGATTTAGCAAAGTGGAACATTCATACATATTCCTCAAAAAATGGGCAATTGGGATTTTATACGTGAGATGTTGAAAGAGTTGCATGCCTTAAAAGCCCAAGAACTATCAGACATACTAATTTTCAGGGAATACATGAAAAGATCCAAGACTATTTATATCCACATTTGAAAATGTATCACATCGCCATGAGTAACTCTGAAATTTGTAACATTTACAAGGACAAAGTTTGGCACTCAATTGGATCGATGAACAAAATAATTATGTAAACATTAGGCAGGAACTCTATGATCTACTTTGATTGAACACTAGTGAAAAGGCATATTTGTAAATCAATAACCTGTGTTTTCACAATTTGATGCCAAGAACTGTCTTGGACTCTGGTATTCTTTCAATATTATTGTACCATCTTTGAATAGAGCTTCCATAACAGCCTCTCCAACTGATTCATATGTTTCCACATCAAGAAATCTCATGAGGGCAATCAGATCTCCACTGCAGCACTTTGCAAGCCACTCATCCTTCAGCATTTTCAAGCACTCCTTTCTTACAGATGAAGATCTATCCGAAAGCCCTCTCTGAAGGATAATGTTCCTGTGCTTGATGCTGACAGTTCCAAAATTAAAAAATTGCTCATCATTAATTTCACTATTACTTTCAGTTGGACTTTTTTTTTTTTTCCCAAACAACCATTACCTAAGACTGTGAAGTGGAAATTTACTTGCCAAGACTAGGTATGCTGCTTTCCGCACTGACTCACTAACATCAAGGGTGGATCCAACAATAGCTTCAGATGTCATGTTCGAGGGAGGCAGAGATAGAACTATTGTCTTTCGAACTTCCTGATCATTGTAAAAACAAAACTATGAGAACCACAATATGACAAAATGCCTTAAGACCCATTAGGACAGCAAGGGATAATACATGCAATCATAACCATACGAAAGACATACTGTATTTTGCTCTTGACAAAGAGTCTGGAGAAAAAGATTAGTAATGTCACTGTCGTCTCCATCATTCACAAACCGTGAGAGAGCTCTGACTGCAAATGCACGGACCGCTGGGACTTTGTCTCGAACACGCAGTTTCATGCTGTCTAGGACCTCATCCCAGAGCTCATCGCTCACCTCTGCATCATCCGGCAACCGCATTATTATCTGTGATAAAAAAAAAGGTAATTTTAAGGTAAATGACTCTCTGGCAAAACCCAAAGAAAGAGAAAGGTCGAGGGAAGAGGCACAGGCAGTGAAGGAAGAAGACATAATATGAACAGAACAACACAACGACTCCAAATCTATCGCAATCAGTAGAATGAAGTGGCAATCACAAAAATCAGATCTATAAATTCAATTTTTGAGTTGGCCCCCATTTGAGACTCGCAGAGAATATTCTGTTGAACGTAGCAGAAAATTTGTAAAGTATTTGACATTTTTACATATCAATCTTCAGGTTTTACAGGAAGTGCCTGGTCGATTCAAACATCCAAAATATCATCCGAATAACGTCCAAAAACGTAATTTTAATGGAGAGTAAAACAAGACAATCTGAGAATTTTAACCAGCATGACAAAGGGATTTCCAGAGATTCACAGAACAATTCGTAAGAGAGAAGGTTTCATTAAAGGATGAAACTTCATCTTTCGAAAGGGAAAAGGAGAAAACAACGGATCTAAAAGCAATAGCAGAAAACCCTAAATCCATCCAATATGAGGTCAAAAATTTCATCACCTCCGAGATGATCTGGCAGGCACGGAACCTAGCCGGTCGATGGGCGGCCGCGGCGGCGACGAGGAGGAAACGGAGGAACTCCTCCAGAAAGGCATCGCAGACGACGGCGTCCTTCTCGTCGCGGCGGGCGGCGAAGGCGGAGACGAATCTGACGGCGCGTTCGGAGGAGACGGTGCGTCGGGGAAAGTCGAAGAGGGGAGTGACGGCTCGAGTGAAGGCGGCGAAGAAGCAAAGGCCGGCATGAGCGTCGGCTACGGAGGCCGAGCGGAGGGCAGAGAGCTCTTTGAGCTTGCGGGGATGGACGGCGTGGGATAGGCGGCACTCGTCAAGAACCCTCGCGATCTCGCCGGCGAGACTCCTCTCTTCCTCCCCCATCAGATCCTTTCACACTCTCTCTCTCTCTCTCTCGATGCGAAATTTGTCGGGAGAGAATAGGCGGGAAACAGCGTCCGTTAAATTTATCGACGGACGTCTTATATTTAACGAAGGACGTTAATAACAAAACATTTGTTGGTTGAGTTATATTTCCTTGTCATGTCAGTGTAAGCTGATCTTGTTGGGCTGACAGCCCAAAGTGGGTTCAGCTCACAGCCCACACCCATTTTAATTTTAGATCAATATAAGGAGGGTGTGGTGGAAGGGGTAGGTGACTGTGTTTTTGGAAGAAAAACTATAGCAACGTGGTGATCCTTGCAGTAGCAAAAAGAAGGAGAAAAAGACAGAAATTCAAGGAGAAAGAAAGGGAAGAAAAGAAGGATAACGCAGAGAGACTGTTCTCAATCATCCAACAGTGTTCTAATCTCGGGTTAAATCAAATCTACAATAAATTTTTACTGTAATTACTTGGGGAGAATTATGAAGGATTTAAATATTGAGCACAGCGACGTGATCTTGTATCTCAGTTATTCTCTTGTGATTGTTGCTAGGGTTTTAGATAAGAGATTAAGATTTATATATTTGAGTACTCAATGATGCACTAATTACTAAAATAAAACTAATTAACACAAGGATAAGAAAAATAATATATTTCGCTGGATTATCCAAAAGTATGTTTTGCTTGTGAATCAGACGTGTTTCCAGACTTCCAGATTACCAAAAATTTTCCATGTTTCTGTAATTGAGATTTTGTTCCTTATTTGATGCTATAAAAATTTGTACAAGCTATGCACACATCCAAAACACATGAAACGTTGTGCAGCACTCGCTGCACAGAATTATTACAACCATCAATACTACTTATGTCACTACGCCATCTCGTTCCTTTGCGGTCTCAGAATTGGAAGACGCAGTCGATGGCTCATCACCGGCAGGCAAGTCCGAGAGTAAGGCCAAAAGCCGGCGTATGCTCGCCGATCGGATTCGCCGGAAGCTGACAGATCTCGTCGGCAAGGAGGAAAAGACGCTTGATGACTTGATGAGAATCACACACACCAGTGCTTGGACCAACAGGAACGCGGCCAACTTACCCAAGACGACGCCATTGAGCTCAGCGGAGGAGGCAGCATCATCCAAGGCTTCTTCCATTGTAGCAGCCGTAAGCACCGACGCGTAAAGCAGAACACTGACCGAGATGGAACGAGCGAGGTTTATATATGGAGCCTAAATAAAGTTCACCGCTTTAGGGTTCACTCAAGGAACTACGAGGAAGCAATGATGCGTTTCCGTTTCTTCATGGCTTTCTTGAAGCTCACGTTCTTTGACAGGAGAAGAGTTCCGGCAGGAGGACTGGAAGATGATAGTTCGATCGCCACGCGGTTGGACAAACTTGCAAGGCATGGGCAAACCTGGTTACTTCCGAGTATGGAACAAAGGATTCCGTAATCTTATGGTAGAAGGAAGAAAAGGTCTTCTGTATGTTTTAGTAGAAGATGAGAGAGTGCAAACAAACAAAAATTTTATTGATAGTGAATATGAATTTATACATAGAAAGAGAGCTAATAAAATATAATAATTATATAACTTTTTAATTAATAATAAATATTAAAATATTTATTAAACCATTTTATGATTTAAAAGATGATGTTGAGATCCCGATCTTTATCGATAGAATCATGATAATTTGTTATCATAAAATTTATAATTTAGAATCATGATAACATAATATCAAAATATTGATAGAATCATGAGAGTTGGAATGATTTTTGATGAAAACTAGAAAGTTTTTGACACATTTCAAAATAAAAGATTCCAAATTATTGCTTTGGCCACTTGGTCTTAAATGTATGTATATATATTTAAAAATTTTATATTATTTATGTTTATTTATTGTGAAAGAATGACAATCAGAAGGGGTGAGAAATTAGCTTGTCACAATAATTTTTTGTTATTGAACCAAAATACTATAACCAACTTGAAAAATACAATAATCAATTTGGTCTAACAATGGTATAGCTTGGCTGAAAAACTTTATAAAAAAAGTATCTAAATTCTTTTGATTAAGAAAAACTTAAATTTCTGAAGCATGTTTTTTTGTTTCCTGCAAATAGCACAGATATATATTAGTATCTCATTTATCTTTTTTTTTTGACCTTTTATATTGGTTGCCTCATATGTTGATTCGCTTAATCAAGAGGGTATTCACGTCATTACGCACTCAAAATTTAGGGTTCGGGTTTCTTCCCTGCCCCCTATTTAAGATCAAACGGAGCCCCGAGCTGCCATCGTCTCTTATCTGCCTCCTCCGCTTCGAAAACCCTAAGGAAACCGATAGAGATCTTTCTTGCTTCAGCCGTTTCGTTCCTCCAATTGGCCGATGATGCGATAGTATTGTCCGTACCATCTGAGATCCGGTGATGCCGCCGCCTCTCTGATGCTATATCTTTCTTCTGAGGCCGTGATCGATTGTTCGATTTCCTTTTGTTTTTTCTTTCTCGTGTTCTTCGGAATTCTAATTCAGCAATGACCTTTTTGGATGTTAGTCGTCAAATTCCCAAGAAATTTGGGGAGAAAAGGTGTTGATCTCAATTTTATTTCTTGGTGTGCATAGATTCAAGTATGCTTACCCAAGGCAACAAATTAGAGTCTCTGATGCGCTTCTTTCCGTAGCGTCGTCGGCGCTGTACGTTGCCAAGAGCGAGTCCGGGCTGAGATACTGGCATTCGTCTCGTATCCATGATCGTATGACTTGTGCATTCAGATGCTCGGACATTTTCTCCTTGATGTGTCTGTGGAGATAAATATTATTAAGCTTATATGTTGAGCGTTTTAAATGATTTGGAAACATCATATTGTTTTATTTGAAAATACATTGAAATCTATTTGATTATAGATGTGATTTTTAATGTGTTAAATTTGATATCAGATTCTCATTAAAAGCATCCTAAAATGAAAATAATATTGGAAAATGGGTTAAAATAAATTGGTGCATGAATTCAATATGAAATTGTATCAAATTTAATCTAAAATATTCAGAAAATTATTCTACGATATTAATACGATAAAACCGTTCTAAGCTATTTGATTTGTGAGAAGAATACACGTTTGTCAGACTAAACTCACAATAAATTCAAACCAACAATGAGAGAGATTGATAATACCTAATATCATAATTTTTTTCATCGATATCATTATGATCCTAAGAAAAGATATGATTCGTTAATTTATATTCTGAACACATTGCCTAGACTATAAGAGACTTAAAAAGATATTTGTTATGTAGCACAATCTCAGCTGTGAGCTTATTTGCAGCGCATCTATTCATCAGTATCTGATGATTGAGCAGGCAAAATGCATTTCAAGTGAATTGAAAGTAAAATCGAAACTCTCTAACACAAAGAAAAGCTTGTGAGGTTTTTCACAACACATGTTTGTACTGAACATGAGAAGAGAGGGAGAAAATACCATGTCATCACAAGCCAAGACCCCGAAGACCAGCAGTATATTGCCTCTCCAGATCTGTATCGAGCTCCTCCTGTTTTCTTTGCTTGGAGGCTTCCATCTTTGTCGTCAGTCCGTTCTCTGGAGGAGCCACGGTTCCCTTCACGCCCTACAATGGCCATAGCCGCAAAGGCAAGCTCAGACTCTGAAACATGTGTTAGTAGGGGTCGAGATTCTAACCAGAGATAATATTAACTACTTCCAAGGAACAAGAATGCAAGTAGGAAAAGATCAGACATTACCATGAGTCTGTTGAACTTTTCCTGGCGCTCCAGGTCTTGAAACAGATGCAAGTCCCAACGACTGGAGGACTGTAGTAGTTTGAGCGAAATGAAAAAGTGTGATGTCAAACACCTGTAAGAACAATTTTCTTTGCATCCAAAATGACATATTATTACCTCTTCTGTAGGATTGTTCTTTTTATTACCCCAAAGGAGCTTTTTCTTTTGGTCAGTAGACAAGAATCCGACCCCTCCAAACCCTACAAGGTTCCTATTAACTGCACAGGTAAGCCTAACAAGAAAATTTTCCGAGATAACCTAAGATTCTCAAATGATCCATGATGGCCCAACAGAACTTTATTAAGGGTTCTTCAATTCCTCGAGCAAGCGAAACTCTCTTTCTTGTTATCATGGCATTTCTTTATTATTCCCCTTTTTGCCTTTTCCATACCATTAGTACATAGAAGCCATACAAATAAATCAGAACCAAATATTTTCTATTCTCATAAATATTTTGCTTATCCTGCCTTGAACTTGATGATGGCACATCACCTACAGCATTAACCTCTATGGATGAATCCCTGTCTATCAAAACAGAGGCTTTATCAACATTTTTTTCATTCTTTCCAACTCTTTCTCGGTGACTGAAACTTTGTGTTTCTGTCTGAAATTCTTCTCTTACCCTGGTATATTTCTCCCTGTGCTTGTCAACTTCCCTTCCAATATACTTCCTCTTTAAGACCAGATCCTCCTGACCATGGAAATCCTTCTTATTACTTTTTTCGCTTTCCTTTAGTCGTGAGGCACTGATATCTCTGTCATAGTCTTTATCAGGTTCTCTTTCCTTATTCTTGTTCTTATGCTCTGAAATATCAGTTTTTTCTTTAGAATGATTGTCAACATTTCGCCGATTATCTCAGTTTTCATCAGATATTCTCTCACTTTCTGTGTCATCAGAGTGACGATAGTCCCTTGATTCTCGACCAGCCCTAGATGACATCTGATAATTCCTATTATTCTCATCAACATGCCTGTGATGCCTGCTATAATCATCATGCCTCCTGCAGTCATGGGAATTTGCATGTGAATGCCTCTCAGCATGCTTCCGAGAATCATGTCCTCTACTGGACCTAATACTACCAGAATCCCTTTCTGATTCTCTTCCAGCATCCTTTCTCTGCTGATCATCAGGTGTCCTAGTATGAACTTCCCTTGGGTGAAGTGGACTAGGGCTGCCTATCAGTGATAAAGAAAATACCATCTCAATGTGAATGGTTCACAAAATAAACATGGAAAAGTGCATGTTATGGAGTGGACTACCATATGTTGATAACACACAATTTAAAAATTTTAAAACAAAGGCTCTCTCTTAGCAGCAGCTAAACTATGGACCATTCTGTAGTTAGGATATCCAGCAAATAAGATTTTTCTTTTTCTTAAAGAAAATGTCTTCCACAACCAAAACAGAAGAAAAACAGAAACCAACAACACCAAAGCTTATGGCCTAGGTTAAGGTCAGATCTTTAAAAAGCAAGCACACTAAAAAAAAAAAAGACTCATTCAACTGTGAGACTCAAAGCTGTAGTCCTACATCTCAATTAAAGATCGATGCTGGTCCCCTTATATAACAGCAGCAGTGCATGCTGTAACATGACAAAGCACCAAACAAGCAGGTGCGGGAGTGCCATGTTTGTTAGTGGTTGTTACAATAAAATATATTAAGCAATGCATCAAAATATAGTTATGAGCAAGCATTGCCATGCCAGTCAGCATGTATTGGAACTAAACTTATTTCGATTCATTTTATCCTTCAACATGCCTATACAAAAATTTCCATTCACTTTATCCTCAATTGGAACTAACCTTATTGTTGAGCATGTATGTATTTCTTATTCTCTCTTTTTAGTAACCAAGCACATCCATTTCAATATCCTACCTCAAAAATAATTTTATGTATGGTTGTTTCCTGACTATCCAACATACAAAACCATGAATGTTAGTCGGTCTCACAATGATCATACCTTATTTTATTTTTAATCTGTGTCAAATGAAGATCACAAGTCTCTTGATGTCTCTGCACTTTCACCATCTTTCTTTAATTAAATAAACAATATTTCCATCAATCTCTGTTGCCTATCAAATATAGACCCCATATATCTAAAAATTACACTACTAAGAACACATACACTGTGTCAATTTAAAGAGGTGAAGACCAAGCGGGATCAGGTTGACCTGATGGGCTTAGGTCGGGATTGACAATCCCTGTAATGCTGAAGTTATACTTTATATACTCAGTCCTACAACATAATGATTTAAAAAACCCTCTAAATATAGAGTGAAAAGGCATAAATATAGAAGATTATGAAGTAAAAAAAACTTTAAAAAATAAAAATAAAGAAAGAAGATAGCCTAAAGCAGATTGACCAAAATGAATGCACTCTTTTTACGAATGATCCATCAAACAATA